AGCCCCCAAAACCCGAATGCCAACCCGTCAGCCCTCGTAAAGCCTAAACGCCAAATCCTCCATCCTCGGGCATCAACATAGAATCTAGGAAAACAAGGGTCCTTCAAAGAAACCCTAAGCCTTGAAATTCAAACAAAACTAAAGCACCGCATCTGCAAATCCTTCATCGCGGATCTTGTAAACCCAAAACCCTGAACCTCGACTCCCTCAAAAGGCTCCCTGATCAGTATTATTATGATGATGCTTTAGCCTATCATTGCTAGTATTATTATTATGATTCGTATTCGTAGTAATCATCGTAGTAGAAGAAGTAGTAGTAGTAGCAGTAGTAGTAGTAGCAGCAGCAGCAATTGGGCCGTGCCAGCACAGCTCAGCCCCAAACGGATTGAACCAGGGACAAGTCCACTTGGGATGACCTGCACTTTGGATGGAACGGTCAATGGACAACATGCTACAGTGTCCGTGGCTATCATGAACAACCAAAACTCTTAAAAATGTAAACCAGCTTAACACGCTTGCTTTTTGGAGGCCCGCTCGGGCCACTTCTCACGGATGTCACAGACGACCAGAAAGTGAACTATCAGACGTGTGGTAAGAAACGACGCCACAGCAACAACGTCGCCTAAGCTGCAAACCCGCGCCCTGGCGAATCATGATATGGAGGCCTTGATAATTAGAATAAGGGTTTTGGGGCCCACTATACCACAGTTACAACAAGGACCACCAAAATATTGTTGGTAATCCTTTAAGCCCCTATATAATAGAACCCTATTATAGATCCCTTATAGACTATAGAGCCCTCTAAGGACCCCAGGTCCCACCAACGAAGCTGGAAGAAGCCCTTTGGGCCTGGTAGGCTTCTGCAGGAGCTGCGTTGCATCTGTTTCTGCATCACCTGAGGGTTCGGGTTTCGGCTCACTTCTCGGATTGTGCGTGTCATCCTTGCGCAGGGCCAAGCTTTTCGCGTGGGTTGGGTTAAGAAGGTCAGGGATTTAGGGTTTAGGCTTAACCCTAAACCCTAAACCCTAAGAGGGGGATTTACCGTGGAGGCTGTGGTGTTGAGTGATTTTTTTGACTCTCACACTCGGCACTACCAGGCGAGGTCTGACGAGGAATTTAGATTCTGTGCCTTTCAGGCTTCTTCTTGGGCTTAGGGTTTAGAGGTTTAGGGGTTTAGGGGTTTAGGGTTTAGGGTTTAGGGTTTAGAGTTTAGAGTTTAGGGTTGAAGGTTTAGGGGTTTAGGGTTCAGGATTCAGAGCTAGTTTGTTCGGTCGGCAGGGCTCAGACATAAATTTCGGGTCTTTTTGGAACCCAGCTTTTCGCAGTGAAGATAGACGGGGACATTTCGCGGAAACCGGCGATTGTAATGACAAGTTCCGCTCAGCTGTCGAGCAAGGGGGCATGCTCGGCTGCCAGGTTGGCTCCCCACTTCCGATAAAATAACAATAGTCACAAAAAATGATACAACCAAAATAAGACTAGTAGTAGTCACAATAGCAACAAACAGCAAAAACCAGAATGACATTAATAGTGAGGTAAACAAGTATCAAACATAAGAATAAGCATAAGCATGCGAATGAGAACAAGAGTAAGAGCAAGAGTGAGAGTAAGAACAAGAAGAATAACAAGGAAATTCACATAAAAAACATTACGAATAATGATAATGACGATAATGATAACGATAAGCATAACCATAGCAACAACAACACTACGTAACAACAATCATTTAAATGCTCCCCAAACGCTGAAACCCCAACACTAAACTTGAAACCATCGGCCATTCCACGCCGTGCATTGCAAGTTTTTGGAACCGGGGACTGGGGTGTAGGATTTGCAATGTATGTGAGCCCTGTCTTAGGTGTGAGCCGTGCGGCTATCAAAATCCGAAAGAACCTGAAAGCCCCGCCGATGAAAAACGCAGCCCAGGGGCATCGTCCAGAGTCCTGGACGACGGCCTCTGTGCACACGACAGTACGAGGAGGATCTATGCTTGACTAGGATTCCCTTCCTGGGGGTCGAGTTGAAGCCCTCAAAAGCCGAAGCTGTGTGTTGATGTGTGAGTATGTAGACCCATCCTCTCAGCCGCAACTCCTCCAGGACCGGTGGTGCCAAAGGCAAGGGCACCACCTAAGACTGAAAAGCAAATGCATGGTAGCTTCCGAAAATAGGGGACCCTAATATAGCACCCTAAATAGTAGGGTCCTTATTATAAGGAGCACTAAACAAGGTACCCCTAATTGTGGGTAACTCCCACATGAGCTAGGAAGGAATCGTTCTGGAACTCAACACACCCAGTGAGCGAAGCCACAGCTCTCTGCTGTCTTGAAGATATGATATGGGAGTTTCCGAAAACTGGGGGTACCCTGTTTTGGGGTCCTTCTAGTAAGGATCCTACTACTTAGGGACTTAGGGTACTAAATTAGGGTCCCCTATTTTCGGTACTCCCATATGGTGTTGAGGGGGCTCTGGGGCATCTTGCAGGTACCTTACTTAAACATCCCTGTAGTAACGACCGTGCTATTCCAGGGGTCCCCCACTGACCGAAACCAAGCCTCAACCCCTTAAAGACTCAACCCTGGACAGCTCCTGTCTCGCAGCCGTGAATGTGAGGAGCGCCGCGGTGCCGAGCAAGATCCGAGACATGGACATAGCCCTTCGGGTTAGGATACAGGTTTAGGCTTGTGTTTGGGCCAGGGTTTAAGTTTCGGGGTTGGCGGTTTTCGGAGGGTCAAGGGTTGAGGCTTGTTGTCAAAATTGCCGAAGAGTGCAGGGCTTTGGGTCAAGGTCTAGCGGGTTTGTCAGGCCTCTATCAGCATGGTTTAAAGCGCCCATTTAAGTGCACTTCACTCGCTTGCACGCATGCCTGTCTGGGTGCAATAGAGTATCTTGTGGGTACGAACTTTCGCATGTGTACCTCTGCTTTCTTCTGCGAGGGCGCATGTGCAAATATAAGCACTTGACAAGCATGCACGACTACACGCTCGTGCTTGTCTTGTCATGCACCCCTCAACTTCTACACCTGCTGTGCCTGCCGCGTGTACTTCGTTTAAATGCCTGTGTGCCTCTGTGAGAAGGCGTCCTTCTTCCACGTGCGATGATGAATATCGGCAGCGAAGCAAACAACCCGGCAACAGCACGTGATTTTGGCTCCTTGATCCTTAACCCTAAACCCTGAAAGGAACCCTTTAACAGAACAAAGAATTGTCTGCCGACTGAAGTCAACCCCCCTCGATCATGGGCATGCAGCACGTCCACTTCTAGCGTCGGGTCTCGCAGCATTTTGACATGATGTTGGATCGTAGTGTGAGTGGTGGCAATGCTGCTTACGAACAAAGCTGATGGATCTTGTGACGGCTCATAGGTGTCGTTGCTCCATCTAATGGCAGAAATTGCAGCAAGTGCAACGGCATCTATCACCAGCACCAACATTATCACACTTCGATATTTGTAGCGTGACTATAGGCATGCCCCATGGCGAAACTTATGATACTCGTGTTGCTGCCACATCCTCGTTCTGCCGTATGGGGAAAAATGCGATGGGCTATGATGATTTCCGCCGTCCTAACTTACAAAGCTTACATCCATATGGCAGTTGCTGTGGCTGCTCACCTCTGCGGTCAGCCTACCTTGAAACGGCTTAGTTTACAACAGCCGTCGTCTTTCAACTACTACCCAAACCCTCGCGAGCCTAAACTTAAAATCCGGAACCTAAGCCCGGAAATCGGATTGTCCCAACAAGCTCTACTCTCTCCTCTCTCTGTCTCTCTCTCTCTCTCCCTCTCTCTCTCTGTCGTTTTCTCTTCTTCTCCCAGGCATGAGGGGCGAGTGAAGCCCCTCAAGCGCTCATTTTCTCTCTACCTCCCTCCCTCTCCCCCTCTCCCTCTCTCTCTCTCTCTCTCTCTCTCTCTCTCTCTCTCTCTCTCTCTCTCTCTTTTTCGCCGCTGACCCCATTTCGGAGCAGGGGAGGTTTGGATTGGAGGAGCCGAGTCTAGTTTTGGAAGCTTCCAAATCTCCAAGAATTCTTCAGAGGCACCTGAGCAGCCGGGTTTTTGCCACTTCCCTGCCAGCCTTTCCTAGAGAAACTTGCGAGATGTAAGGCTGTGAAGTTAGGACCTGCTTAAAGTACTAGTTACCTAGACAGGCTGTATAGAGAAATCATAATAGGTGCTGAGAATTATGGCATCATAGTATCTAAAGAACTTCTTTCCACAACCACCCGTGTGCTTAAAGATTACGTAAGATGTTCTGGATGAGAAACGAACTCATCGGTTCAGTAGCGCAAGCTGCGAAGCCACAGTTTGGGCCAAGATGGACGGCAGAGGCTCTTCGAAATTCTGCAAGCCGTGATGCAACTGGCTCCGCGGCAGAATCCCAATACGATAAATGTGGTTTCGGCAGGACAGGATTACGGCCTCTTGAGTTTACGGCTCGAGCTTAGGGTTTGCACGGCCTTGGGTTTGGAGCTTGTCTCGTGCGTTTCGGGCCAATGAGGATAGAGAGCTTCAGGGTTGTCGCTCAGAACTCGGGCTCGAAGAGCTCAGGGTTCTACCTAAACACTGAAGACTTGTGTTTAGGGAAGGGGGCCGGTCTGACTGAGAGGAAGAAGGTTTCGGTGCTCATTCCTCCAGGCGAAGTTTTTTGATTATCGGAGCTAAAGGTCTCTGAGTTTAGGGCACGAACTGCTCAGGGTCTAAGATGGCAGGCCTTCTACTTGAGGGCATGGGCTAAAGAATTCTTGCTGTGAGGCTCGGCACGCTTGTCAAGGCTTCGCCAATAACTTACTTCCGATTGCGTTTTCTTTGTCAGGAAGTCTCGAATTTTGGGGCCTGAATGGGTTTTTGGGGTACATCAGAATGCAAGATCTATGAGGAATGATGTCGGTGGTGATTCAAGCTTCTATACAGTGCCGCTATGCCCATGTGTCGTTATAACTTTAACTTTACCGTTCGATCTGACCCGAGACCCTAAACTAAACCCTATGTGGCCACTGAGCCCCGAACCTCCTGGCAGGCAGCCTGTGGTGACTGAGCCTTGCAAGACGAACAAAGAAGGTTTCTGTAAGGATACTCTATCGGTTGCTATAAAGGGTACTCTCTGGGTACTAGAAGTATAACTCTACATGATTATAAGGGTTCCATACAGATCCTTCTTTGAGGGATGAGGGTTTAGGGGGTCTGCTCAGGGTCCCATGTCACGAACCTGCCGGCCTCCTTAAGCCCCTAAACCCCCCCTCTCTAAACCCCTGAAACCCTAAACCTTTTTTAACCCAGACTCTGCTGATCAGACACCAGTTTTCTTGCACAGACGTGTACATGCCCGCCTGGATCTCAGAGCTGCTACCCGTTGCCACTGGACTCACGTCTAGCAAGTCTACGACCCACAATCACCTTAAGAGCTGCGACCCTAAGCCCTAAACCTGAACCGCTCAACTCCGGCGATCTCCAGGTTTCACTCTCAGAACCCCCCGACTTCCTCCAAGACAAAGTCCCGAAGTTCGTATCAGCAGCCTTAAGAACCGCAATAAACCCGACAGTGAGCTTCCGATCTTAGACTTCACTGGGTTTGGACTGGGTTTCGTGTTGTTAACAAGACTAGAAATCTTAAAGCCTGCGCAGCAAAAGCTGCCTAATCTCGACAAATTACCTCGCTCCTAGACTCTGAACTCTCGGAAGCATGCCGAACAGTGACCTGCCACCTGCCCCGAAGAGTCACCGTGCCCTATCACGATGAAGATCCCCATATCGATCCTGGAAATCAGACCTAGTCGTTGGGCTCAGAAGGATCTGGATCCCTCTTCGAGGGCAAGGCCAGCTCGAAGGCAAGTCCATAGAGTGACGCTGCGTGTGATGCCACTGTCCAAGTACTCCTTGACTGGAGTGGCACAAGGCGCTCTCTGCTGCGAACCAGCTCAACACCAAACCGTTCACGAGCTCAACCAGTGGCTCCACCAAATCGGAGGAGGCGGCGCGGGTAGAGGTCCCAGGCCATTGTAGAGCTAGAACTGCTGCCACGTCCAGTCTCCGTTCTCTCTGCGACGAGGTCGTGGCTTCAGACGGCACAAGGCGTTGCGCAGCATCCTGCATGGTAAATCATGAATTTCGGGCCCTTCATTTCTGAAACTCCCACTTTCGACAGCACTTACAGTTATGTTAAAAAATTGAAAGCTGTCTAACTCTATCTTAGGCGGTCAAAGGCAAGTAGGAATTAGGGGCATACCTAAATCCTTTTCAGCATGGGCTTGGATTGTGTGCCAGCGAACACTCCTCCTGAACCCTAAACCCTAAACCCCAAAACCTAAACCCGGGCATATAGTTCGAGCGGGCTGGATCGAGGAGCTAATTCAGGATATTTCGGGGGTCTCCATGAAGACCCTGAAGACTGCGGCTGATGATATAAATCCTTGTTTTGGAGTCCTTATAACAAGGATCCTACTATTTAGGGTACTCTATTACTGTTGATGATACATACAAATCCAGCATTGGCTTAAGGACCCTAAACTATGGGAATTATGGCATAAGCTGCTTGTTATGGGTAGTGCAGGATTTATATCATCAACCGTCTGACCAGGATTCTGGGATGGTCTAAACCCCTAAACTCACATGACTGCCAGATGCTTTCGTCGGAAGCCGAACCTCCAGCACGAACAACTCGGGTAGAGGGCCCTCAAACTTTCCTGCAGGGCAACAAGGACACTGACCGCGAACATGGAGTGGCCCGAATGATGCAAGGTTTAACGCTTTGGGTATAAAGGGCAATCAATAGGGGTAGGGGCCCCTAAATTCTCTCCAAACATAATTGCACTACAGCCTAACGAAAACAACAAGCTTCCAAACTGGACGATCGTATCTACAATCCGTCGGATACCGCAGTTGCAAGCAGTACACGAACTCTGCACCTGCACGTTGATCTTCGAACCCCCACCCCCATACAGTCGAGAACCCCGGTCTTGAGATGGCCATCGAAGAACCCCAAACCCTGAACCCTTTAGCCTCCCTGGCAATGCCAGGATGAACGCTGAAAGAGGTACATATTATAAACTTGTACATATACAGTGCCTATTGTGAAGGGATCTCCTACGGTAGCGTAGTATAAGGGCTGGTGTCTAGTAAAAGAGAGGCGGCAGATTAAGGAAATGATTCACGACCCGATCCTGCAAGAAAGCTATGGCAGTCTGGCAAACCCCGGACCCAAAACCCCAGAACCCTAAAACCACGAACCAAAACTCTGCAAAACCCAAACCACTGGCCTAAGCGCAGGAGGAGGGATGGATCCGCAGCCTCCTTCCACAAACAGGAGGGTTTGAAAAGACGCAGGCGAATTCTAAGGTTTAGGGTGGTTTCCCCTCCTGCTTGATTGCGGGTGACTGGGATTTCGGCGCTCACACTCGGACAAACCAGGCGAGGCATATGAGTTCGAGTCTGCAGAGTGAAACGACACTAAGAGGCCTCATCACGACGTCTCAGCAACAAAGAATAACAACACTTAAAGTAACTGTACCGGTCTGCGAAACCTCTCCTTGGAATCTCTCTGTTGAAAGCATTCGAAAAACTGGATTCCAAGGCAGTAGACCAGGCAGATCACTCAGGGTTGGGGTATAGGGAGCTAGCCCTACAATATTCAGTAGCTACATACGAGAGGGAAGAGCCGGGTTGACTCGGGCACTGTGATCTGTTGTGAGGATCAGGTATTGCATGACTGGGATTTAGGGGTTTCGGGCTTTAGGTTTCGGCACTGACTCTACAGGCGAGGCTCTTGGTGCGCAGCCGGTTGGAGGTGAGACCTTTGTAACTGTGCCAGCATGCTGCTGCAATCGCGCCCCTCAACTGACAGACCATGTTAGCTCTGTTACCACTGTCCAGAAGGGGGCACATGGTTTCAGTATTCCTCTGCTACCGTCCTTTGTACTCAAACTCAGAGCTGCTCGGTGAGGTGATTTGTGACATCATGCGCTTCTAAGGGACATGCCGCCGTCTTCCGGCACAGACATCTCAAAGCATGGAGCGTGATTATGCTTTTTGAACTGGAGGTGTTTGGTGTTGGGTGTGCTACAAGCACCACGAGACCATACTTCCCGTTGTTGAGGCACCTACATCATTACGCCCCAAACCCAGACGAGAGTCCGCAACCTCTGCTCGACATTAAAGCCTGGCGACCCCCAAGCATGTCACATCTAAACCTTCGTATTGCCTGCCCCATAGGCCGCAGGGCAGGAAATCTGAAAGCCTGAACGAACATGAACGGGTCGCGTCACGTGCCAAACATTCAGAGCTTACTATCGCCATATTCGTCGTCATCGACGCCATGAGCGTTTCCATCCCCATCAGCCTCATATTATCTGGCCGCACATGTCCAGAATGCCATGGCAACAACCAGCTCCCATGATCGTCACTACCACCACGATAACCCCTGCCATGGATGTGCGAACAGCCCTGACACTGCCACTGACTGTCTTCATGTTGGCAATGGGCGTGATGCCGGGCTCCGTTTAGCGACAAACAGACGAATGAAACAACGACTAGCACACAAACAACAACGACGACGACAAGCGCAACCACAGCCACAACCACAACCACCCCAGCAAACGACCAACCAACGACAACCAACGACAACCAACGACGAACATCGACAACCGACGGCAACCGACGACAACATCCGACGGCAACCGACGACAACATCCGACAACATCCGACAACAACCACCACAACAACACCAGCCAATAACGACGACAAGACGACGACAACAACAACAACAACCACAACAACACCAGTAGCATGACAACAAGAATAAGAACAGAAAACAGCAGCGGCAGCAGCAGCAGCATGAGCAGGAACAAATATACAAACAATAACATACGATAACAACAAAAAAGGCCAAGAATAATAATAACGACGAAGAAGAACCAGAAGACCAACAAGAATAACACCAAGACGCAACGCCGACAGCGACAGCAACTGCAGAAGCAACAACAGAAACGTCAGAACAAGACAGCAACGACAATTGACAACCTCAACAGAAGGTGCATTAAAAACACACACTATAGCTAATCGAGCTGTTGACCCCCCCCCAGCCCCAAACCTTAACACTAACAGCATGAAACAATAAACTCCAAAACTAATCGCTAAACACTTAGAAAAAGCCAGCAAGCCCTTTATACCTGGACCGAAGCACCGACTGTGCTGCCGTGGACTCGTGCCACACGGCTACCCCCGGTTGCAAAAACTGATCAACTGGAAACCCCAAACCCTAAAGCCTTCGACGCAAAAAAAGCAAATCCCTAAACCCTGAACCCTAATCCCTAAGCCCTAAACCCTAATCCCTAAACCCTAAACCCTAATCCCTAAGCCCTAAACCCTAATCCCTAAACCCTAAGCCCTAAACCCTAAACCCTAAACCCTAAACCCTAAACCCTAAACCCTAAATCCCATACCTTGTTTTGGGGGGCCTCCAGGTCCGCTGCTGTCGGCTGTGTTTCGGCCATGGCCTCGTCTACTTATACTTGGAGGGTCGGGGGACTTAGTAACTAGTTATTTTGGAGACTTATAAGTACCATAACCCCAAATAGGATCCCTTTTGGGGTACTCATACCTCTACTTATTAACTACTTAATAAGCCCCCCGAACGTAGTTAGGAATAGAACTTCTATAGGACCACAAGGGGATACCAAAAAGCTTCCCAAAGTGCCACCTAGTTGTGGCTTCTTGGTGTTTTTGGGACTTCCTTGCCTCTTACTTCGCAAGGACATCCATTTTGGAGGTTTATGGTTCGGGTTTGGACTTTATGTGGGTCACTGCTCTTTTGAAAATCCCATTTTACGCCTTCGGAACACAAGTTTCTGTGTTTGCTCTTTGCCGCTGGGTGCCGTACCCACGAATGGAAAAACGAAACTTGCTGCTCCAACTGGAGCGACATGGCTTTGAGGGCGCGCCCCACCCACCACCTCCCCGTGGCTTGCAATAGGTTCCGCTGACCTAGCGCAGTGTCGTCTTGCTGGCTGCTGCGAATGGTCGATCGCCCGGCGATTGCTAGGCCGGAGTGCTCCATTCAGATTGCAGGGCTCCGGGGAAACCAGAGTCTTTCAACTCAGGTATGGACGTCAAGGTGTTTGGCTTTGATGGTCGGGGCTGAAGGCCTGGTAGCTTGAATGCAGCTGCCTGGTTCAGGATGATCTGCATTGCGACCAGAACCGGCACCAGTATGGCTGGTTCTTGTCTTGACTCCCCACTGCAGGGCATGCGTCATCAGCATCAGTTTCGCATGTTCCTGCACGCTGCACGACCTGCATCATCAGCATCAGCGGTGGACCTATTTCAGAGCCGTGATCTCACGGTCACGGGCAAGAGCCACATCATCAGCGAAGATCAGCAAAGCGGACCTTTCTGCAGCAACCGCGTCATCTGCATCAGCAGTGCGGCCTTTTCACAGCTTCAAGCGGAAAGAGCCGCATCATCAGCATCAGCTGTGCGTACTTCTGGCACCTTCCAGCGGCAGGAAGCGTACCATCAGCATCAGCGATGGACGTCTTCAGACCTCCACGCAACACTGGCGGCATCATCGGCATCAGAGGTACACCCATTTCACACATCCCAGGGGCAACAGCCGCACTGCACCGTTACTAGTAGCATCTGCATTGTACCTTTTTCATAGGCTTGCTTTCTCCCAGCGTCACGAGCGGCATCATCAGCAGCCCTTTTCAGATGCCTGGAAGGGGCAAGAGCCGCATCATCAGCATCAGCGTCACAGCCTGTGCATACCGCCAAGCGGCAAAAGCCGCATCATCAGCATCAGTGGTGGACCTTCTTCATGCCTCCCGACAGCAACAGCACCATCATCAGCATCATTGGTGCACTCTTTCGCTCAGAATTCATTTCTCCCAGCGGCGTGAGAGGCATCATCAGCATCAGCGGCACACCCTTTCCATACCTCCAAGCGTTAAGAACCGCATCATCAGCATCAGCGGTAAACCATGTGCATACTTCTCGACGGCAAGAGCGACATCATCAGCATCAGCAGTGGACCCCTCTCATGCCAACAAGTGTCAGGAGCCGTACGGTGTACGGTTTGCATCTGCATTGTATTCTTGCTCATAGGTTTGATTTCTCTCAGCCGCACGAGCGGCATCATTAGCATCAGCGGCACACCCGTTTCATATGTTGAAGCGGCAAGAGCCGCATTATCAGCATCAGCGATGAGCCTTCTTCTCCGCACCTCTCATGGGAAAGAACGGTGTCAGCGGTCTTCCTTTCCCAACACCAACGAAAGCATCATCGGCGGTACACCCTGTGCATAATTCTCAGCGGCAAGACCCGAATTGTCAACTCAGTGGCAAAAAGGCACGAGCAGCATCATCGGCACGAGATATGGGCGTCTTCCATACCTCCCAGTCAGCATCAGCTGCGGAACTTTCAAGACCTCCCAACAGCAACAGCGGCTGCACCCGCATCAGCAGTACATCCGACTCCAAAGATACCTCTCGGTGACAAAATCAACATCAGATCAGCATCAGCCAATTGCCTTCTACATCGAGCCGGGACAGTTTTGTTCCGGAAAATGATCCCATGATGACCAGCCAAGCAGGCAGCATCATCAGTATCGGTCGGGCCTCCCGAAAAGCAGCACCGGCGCAGCAAAATCATTTCCGAACTAGCTGCTACAGAATCGCATAATGCGTACCCTTTATGCATGCCGATCGGACATCCCAGCGGCCTTACCGGCATCATCAGCGAAAACAAACCAAAACATTTGAGATATACGATAGCAAGAAATCGGCACCAGCGTCTAGGGACCATAGTGGAACATTGTTACCATGTATTCACGCCCATATATGAACTCATCAGCAACAGCTTGACCTGCTCCTGATTGCTGGTGTTATTGATTCCTGATGACAGGATCAGCTGTTACCTTCTCAGCCCCGAGCCCCACTATGAGAGTTTCGGACAATGAGGGACCCTAATAGACAAAGTATAACAGGATCAATATGACACCTCAAAGGAGGCACCCCGAATACTAAGAACCCTTAGGAACAAACCACGTTGCAACATTTCAAACTCCGTTAGAAAACCCTTCAAGACCCTCATCAAACTCGTAAAACATCCTGCAAAAAACCGTTTACTTAACGAACACTCGCTTGCAAACCCCCTAACATCCAACAGAACCCGCCTCAAAACATGTAGAAGCCTTGTTCCCAGCCTCAACCCTACGAATATCTCACTGAAAGCCCTGCGTTCAGTACTTGAAGGCTCATGGGACTTAGTAAGTAGGGTGATAAGTACCCTAATTGGGGTTATAAGTAATTATAAGTATAGTTACCCTAATTTTAACCCTAGTTACTAAGTCCCATGGCCCTTTAAGGAGGGCCTTGGGAGCTGCCCGGGAGCTCTCTGCTCTGGGGTGCGACGAAACGAGCCCCAATAGGAGGCTACGGAGGCCGGGCAATGATCAGTGAGCTTTCTTTGGGGTTTGGGTGTAGGGCTTCGGGTTCAGTAAGGTAGGTTTTCTTTGCACGACCCTTTTCTCCAGCTTTGGTAGGGTTTACAGTTTAGGTCTTATACAGGGTTAAGAAATTACAGCGTAGGGTTTACGGTTTCTCGGACACTTCAGGCGAGGGTTTACGCTTTGGGGCATAGGGTTTAGGAATAAGGGCGTAGTGCAGTGTGGGCTTGACGGTTTACGGTTTAGGGCCTGGGGTCCAGGGCCTAGGGGTGCAGAACTCACCTTCGGACTGTCATCGTTGGCACGGCTTATGATGCTTTTTCAGAGGAGCTGGAATATAGCATCAGTATGCTTATGTGATCGTCGCGGCCAGGAGCTGACACATATGAACTCCCCGATATCTGCAGTTTGGGGGTGGAAGGATTCTGGGGGCTCGGGCCTCGGATGTGGCGGTGGCGCAGCATCTAGGGGTTGGGGGGTTAAGAGTTTAGGATTTAGGGTTCAGGAAGCCCTTTTCAAAACAAGTAAAAGACATGTAAAAAGACGGCCAGCATCTCATCGTGTGCAAAAAAAGTGGACAGACTGCACAGAGTTCTCGACCTTGAGGGAAGACGATCCCCAAGATACAGTGGAAAGACGGGAGATACAATACGCGTATAATGCAAGTCCGATCAAGCATAAAGGTACAACAACTACTCTTTTCTAAGTGGTCGTATAGCAATAAGCCAGCCTACTGGTTGAGTCTGCTCATAAGGTACCTACCAAACTATGGCAGTGCGAGCTTGCAGCAGTCTACGGCTATGACCAGTTTAAACTCTACGGATACCGGCCAAGCAAAAGGTCCATCTAGGATAGAAGGATCTGAGAACTAAAGAGAAATCTTCTAATCCCAACCCCCATGGCCTGGCTCTAAACTCTAAACCCCCCAGTCCTCTGAATTGAACCTCCCCAATTACTGTAGGGACCTTGGTCATTAGACTAGGGTTTTGGGGTGTAGGGATGCAAGAAGGAACCCCAGGAACAGTAGTGTCGGCCGATTTTGGTGATGCATGCAACATTGCGGGATGCTAAACGTCCTTGGGGCCTTGTTCCCCGTCTACGAAACTGCGCTCCTGTGGGGGGGGGTTTTCCGGAAGCAAGAGACCCCAATCTAGGGCCTCCAGACTTGCAATAAGGACCCTCAGGTTCCGGAAACCCCGCATAGCCCTCGAACACGATGGCCACCCTTGCGCATGAAGCTTAGGGTTGCATAGGGATACGATGGGATTTAGAACATCTTGACGAATTCTGGGTTCAAGGCAGAAACCCTAAACCCTAAAACCCTAAACCCCCTAAACCGTGCGAGGTCTACCCGCTTGGGCTTGAGGATGAGCTGAGTATGGACTCGAAGAGTCCCCTGGAGATGCAAGCTTTTTGCGGAGGTGGTAGTAGAACTTCAAGCCGTCATAAGACTGGCTAGTAAAAGAGAGACGTAGCATTGGTACTAGTCTATAGGGGTATAGTAAGTAGCATTAGCAGCACTAGAATGCCGATCTTGATCGCAGCGCATGTAGCGCAAGATGGACCACGTGCGATGAAAGCTCCAAATGCTGATGCCAGTATTCGAGGTCTGTCTTCGACAGACCCCTGGAACAGCAGGAGGCCAGGGCAACATGCAATGCAAAATGGTGCGCTTTTTTTTGGCCCATCCAGGAGGGCAGCCGGTGTTTTGGATGTTTTGACACTCACTCTCGGACAAGCCTGGCAAAGTCTGTTTTGGATTTACGGCTTGGGGCTTACGGCTTCCATGCACCTTGTATCGGTGCCGAGCTCGCAGGATACACGCGGGAAGGACAACACGCGCACGTTCAGAATTAGGACATCGCTCTGGCATCTTGACTTGATGGCGGGTGTGCGCTGGCTTCGGGGGCGTGATCTGCATGGGGTCCTGGCTTTCAGGCACGGGGTTGAGTGCTTGAGACCTCCCTCCCGAGGGGAGTGGCACCTTAAAGCTTTCTTCGGCAGGACAGCGCACGCAACACGCGCACGCTGCCACGTAATGCAGCCGAA